AAGTCAGTTCACAAATAAAACTTTAATATCTTGCTTTGAAACATTATATTTATATATTTAAACATTATACGAGTATTAAGTACAAAATATACATATGTCAGGTCAAAAATAAAAGAAGGATAGAAAAATCAACAACAACGCGTGAATTGTGATTTATTGTTTTTTAATTAACTTTACGGCTTACGCCTTCATAAGACAAACAACGGACGTGACGTAATATTAGTTACTCGTTACTTAATATTAAAATAACGAAAAAATTGACAATTCAAATATGCATATTTTTAAGAGTCTTGATTATACATTATTATTTTATATGGGTCAAAAATAAAAAAATAAATATTTTTCATGAACATGTATAATGTATTCCGTATTTACTTTTTGGTACAAGAACTTAGTTGTTTTTAATATGATTTTAATAAGAATTATCAATTGTGTCCAGAAGATGTGTTCTGATAATAAATATTTATACACGTAAACGAGGAACCGACTGTCTGAAGACGAAAACATGCAAAATGCTAATCTTGTCTATAATATTTCTATAACATTTCTTTCCCAAAATATTTATGAAATTAAAACCAAATAACTCATCGTCTGGAAATTTTAATAAATGATAAAAATCATTGTAACAGCATGCAAGAGTAGGAAACGTTGTACCATAAAATGTGCTTTTTGTGAATCTTTGCTTTTTAATTCCCCAACATAGAAAAGTGTTTTTAAAAGCTAAACTTGTATTTTAAGGATACGATACCAGAACAAAAGTGTACATTTTGGTTATATCAATTCAAGCATGGAACCTAGGAAAAATGACCTTTACTTGAATTCATGTCTTAATTTTGTATGAGCTTTCTTCTATTCAGGGATGATTTTCTACAAAACATAACTTAAATTTGAACAGACAAACCAATATAACGGTAAAAATGTGAATAATTTAATCAGGCATATTTCGTTAAGACTGCAATACATTCTTGTAGAGAATATTTTATTTAGATTTTCAAAAAATGTAACTTTCGAATTTTGTAATGATTTTTATTTTGTATTAAATGAAAAATATACTCATGCACCTTCTAAAATGCTGTACCGGTTTGGCATTTGAATGAACATACAGTAATTGTTTCAAAACCCATAAAAGCATCAGGTCGACAAATTATTGCAAATGTTTCAATACGTAGAAGTAATAACAATTCAGTGTTTCATTAATTTATCTCTTTTATGCAAATTATAATAATGAATATTATCAGTATAGTTTTATCTAAATAGTCTTATTTTGATATTTCATAATGTTAGTAATAATAATTATAGTCTAATTAATATGACATTATTTTGCTATTATTACTTTGTAGTCCATTGTTTGCCTTTTCTGGTGGTACCATGGGCATCGTTCTGGTCATGTATTTCATTGCTAGAAATTAAATTTACAAATTAATTTTGATGACTACCTATATAATTCATTTTTCATTATGATTTGTTATAATTTTTATGATTTGTTATGATTATAAGTTTGCATCTCATGACTTAATAATGTCGTGTATATAAGATTTGAACCTACCATTTATTTTTAACGATTAATTTTTTCTCTCCATTATCTTTACTTTGAAATCTAATCATTTCCCTGGGCACACGATCGTCAACGCTCCAAGGCTAGAATTGAATTGAAAAAAAAATCATATTGATTTTAATGAATTCTACATGCACACCCCTGCTTTGGTAACAGTTATGACAATTAAACCATCAGCAATACGCAAAATTGGTTCTTCTTCTTTGCTATATTTTGACCATTGCTTTAACGGCAACGCCTGGAATAAGAGGGGCGGTCAAATGCAAATGACACAAATGTGAGAATATCTAAAAATAATAGAAATATCTCAAAATGAAGTGTAAACAGAATAGAGACAAAATTTTCTGGGAGCAAAAAATATCACCAAACAGTAGTGTGAAACTGGACGCTCCTTTGATATGCTTATCTTCATAAGATGGTCAGGAGCAAGAGTAGAACAATTAAAATGGTTGCTCGTTTATGGAAATTACCCTTGGTATTATTTCTTTCAGTAAAGTCTTTGCCATTCGACGAAATTTATTCTTTCTGTAAAGTCCTTAGCATTCTAAGAATTATATATAAGATATTATTATATATTTACGTTCTGGCTATGGCAATTATTCTTTGACAATGATGCTTGTTTGCAGACCTTGTTTTTCAGTGTTTAGACACTTGAAATCATAATGAACGTCTAAAGTAAAACGTCACGGTAATAAATTATTCGGGCAGGTGATAATTGATAAGTTTTTCTTTGAAGGAAATATTGCTGGAGATCACACATGTTTTCACAGGCATATAACTGAGTGTTTTTCAAATAATTACCCATATGTGAAGTATTATTGGCAATTATTTCATTTCCCAAATCATTTCTATCTGCCATTTAATCTGCGAAAAGAACATACACATTGGGCGGTTAAAGCGAAATTCCGAATCACCAACATTGCAAAAACCCATTACTGAATTTCCTAACCAGCAGGGAAGATCTACGAATCACGGGAATCAAATGAAAAGAGCCCATTAAGGTCATTACAACACACCGTAAAATTACGGCGCCTATATTTGTTTTGCTGTGGGTAAATGGGTTTATAGTAGTTATGAAATTTGAGTGTATATAGCCTCTATTGGCGGTAAATGGATTCTGTCTTATTATCCGAAAAACATATGTAGAAATGAGAATAAAATGGCTGTCAAACGACGTGAGTCGGGGAGTTAAGTGTAGCCCTAGTAAACTTTTACTTGGTATGCTTATAGGCATCTTACTATAAAAGGATCTAGTTACGTACTTTTTTATTTTGAATTTCATTAATTGTTGTCATCAACTTAAAGCAGTGTGATGTCGTGTATACAGGACATGACTGCATTGAAAAGCATATCTCCCCAGTAACAGTTAGTCATAATGAATATCTGCGGTGAAAAATGGGGCCCGCCTGGTATGAAATATCAAATTACTTTACAGATAGTTATTTACGTACAAACACGTACAAACACACAAAAAATGTGTTACGAAATCTACGTAATTTAAAGTGATTAAACAGTTATTACATTTTATATGTCTTTATTTTAGAACTTAGATTAAAGTGATGCCATTATGTAAGATTATTGTTAGTCATCATGCTTATTTTTATTTTGTTTAAAACGAAATTTTAATTTGTTTTAAACGAAATCATAATTTATTTTTAACGAAAGTTCAATTCGTTTACATGAAATTTTAATTCGTTTTCACGAAACAATATGTTTATGTGTTACAAGACATATATGTATATCAGATACACCCAAATGTTATGTTGATGCGACTTTAAGGAAATGTTACTTTTATGCGTTTAACGAAAAGTTATGCTTATAAAACGAAAGATGCAAATCTAGGGAAATATTATATTTATATGTTCAACGAAATGTTATGCTTATAAAACGAAAGGAAGCGAATTTAGGGAAATGTTATATGTACGCGTTTAACCAAATGTTATGCTTATAAAACGAAAGAAAACATGTGACAATGAAACATAATGATAAATGTGTATAATAGAGTTTCAGAGGTAAATCACCAATTAAACAAAAAAGATTTACAACCTTTTTTTATAAATTCAACATACCATGAGAATCTCTGTATACGTAGAATATGCTTCCCGCTTTTCTAAAATACATCTTAGAATATTCCAAATTGCGACGCCAATGTAGGATAAATCATAAAGAGAATATGTCAAAATGAGTAACATTTTGATTCACAATAAATTAATTGAAATATAGGCAAATAAAAAACTCAATAATAAGGAAGTACAAATGGCAGTAGGCACCGTCTTAACATCGGTTATATATAATAATATAAAGTGTCTTTAAGAAAAATAAAGAATATTGTATATTATATTTTGAATAAATGCTGTCGATTTAAACAGTGTTATTTTGTAATATTAAAGCATTTGTCAATTTATAGCTTTATCATTATCATAAGATGCACTTTCATAAAAGCAATGAACGTGGAATACGGGCTTATTGAATTATGGTTTCAACTCAAAAATATGGAATGTACAATTTAATCAGAAAATAACAGCAGGTATTCATTGTGGGTTCAATCGCATTGTACAATAATGCTGATTCATACCCCTCTAGCCATTTGGGAGCCGTTGTCAGAGTATTGCTCCACGGGTTACTGTCACGGGTAAATGTGATTTAAAAAAATATTTAACGCTCTTTAAGCATATAATTTTTAAGTAATATATATATACTGTTAAAATAGTTAAACCCACAGCCTGCTGGCGGGAACTGAATATGCTCTTGCGACCAGTGCAGACCAAGATATTTATTCATTCAACAGCCATTCTACTGATGTATAAAACGACATAAAAACCAACAAAACAAATCAAAATAAATGTTAAATTTCAGTTATTGTGTGAAAAAAAAACTCATTGGCATTTAAAATGCAAGTAATGGATTATCGTCTGTTAATTTGGTTGTTTTGCCATATGCTTATCTCGATAATTGATACTGATAAACAATGACAAAAGACTCCAACTGGGAATAGTTCAACACATCAATGAAATATCTGAAAAGTTATTCGGGTCTGCATGCCCTTAAAAAATGGTAAAATTATTCCATCTGATCGGATGATCAATTTTTTATGGTTGAGACTAATTGCTTCATTTAATGAATGTCTTAGAGGGAAATGTTCATGTTAAGCTGAACTTTGTTTATAATAATGTTTTGTTTTGTTTTTATAACAGTAAGCATACGACACTAAATCTCAGAGAGGTTGCCTGCAAAAAAAGTAATCAAAAAACACAGAAAACACCTATATGTGAAGTGTTAGAAATTGTTTTCAGAATACAGTGTAGTTAATTTCATACTGCGAAGATGGTTGTTTAATTTTATGTTTAAATCCCTGGTACGAAGCAATAGTAACAAAAATGTTAATATTCAATTTCACTTTGTTCACTTACTACATTAAAGCGTTCTTCTTTTGTTTCATCAACAGGTCCAAACTCAAACCAGAGACGTCGTGGTAGACAAACATATACAAGATTCCAAACACTTGAACTTGAAAAGGAATTCAAATTCAATAGATATTTAACACGTCGCCGGCGGATTGAACTTTCACATATGCTGTGCTTGACTGAGCGTCAAATAAAAATATGGTTCCAGAATAGGAGGATGAAAGAAAAGAAAGAACTACAAGCAATCAAAGAACTAAATGATTCAAACCGCTCTCCAGATCTTAAAACTAAGTCAACAACTTCTTCGACTACGTCGGAAACGCCGACAAGTTGACATGAAATAGTTCGGTAGTTTAGACTAGGATATCAGCTATTGTTGTCAAGTCAAATAGAACGAGAATTGAACCTCTCTAAACGAGAATATTGAATTTCAAATAGTCTGTGTATCGCGCGCGTCAAGAAGATCTAGGAATATCTCCGGGGTTGTGCCATAAAAATGTGTTTCACAGTACACACAAGGAAACGTGAAGCGCAGAAAGCCACTGAGCCATGACACTTATTTATTTATAGTAACAAACTGCCATATTGGAATTCCTATGGTGCAAAAACAAGACGGTATGCTCAATCACAGTAGAGTATACCCCAAGTGTTCATTTCTGTTTTGTTCAAAATATTACAGCTGCAGCTGTACCTATTCGAGTGTTCATATAAAAATTGTCAGTAATTCCGGCATTTGAAACATAAGTGGAATATATATCGATATTGAATGTTTGTGTCTTTAAATGTTTTAAAAGTTTAGTAGTAGCCTTACTGGCATGATTGGTTCTTCTGTCAGATTGTATGGATATGTTATGTATGTGGTATATTGACAAACGTTGAATTTAGGGATTTTGTTTTCATAAAATGTCTTTATATAAATGAAATGTTGGGTGATTTATTTCAAATATATTATATACTTTGCCAACAGCTAAATGCAATGCATGATTTTCATATCTAACCTTCATTTAGAACACCTGGTAGAGTGTCCTTTCCGTTATTCTGTAATCATTTGATAGTCATAAATTAGTTAATTTGCAATCAAGATGAAGAAACGCTTTCAGCCTTATAATTTAGAAAAAAATGATTTCTCATTTTATACAAATAAAGCACTGAATATAGTAAACTCAACATAAATGATCTCAATAGTTAGTGGCCGTATGTATGCTTCCCTATGGTAATAAAAGGGGACTAGGAAATGGTCCCTGAAGTATACCTCTTTCTTTGATGAAAGTAGGTTTTAAGCGGGGATATTAATCTGCATTCTTTTACCTCACATTAATAATATTAGACTAGGCATGCATTGAATAATATAAGTTATCATATACACATTCACAGCTGACTTATGATTATTGTACATAATTCTATCTTAAAGGCATTTTCTAAATATTTTTGGTCTCCTTTTTAAAACAAAATATCTCTGATTCCATATGGAATAATTTTATTTCTCAAAATTAAGTTAATAATAAAAACTGCATAATGATTAAAATTGAAACCAAATTAGGATTGTTACATATCGCTTTCTTGAATTACATTTTTCATCTCTTGACATTTTTAAATAAGTTTTAAACAGTGATTGTTTCAAAATTGTTCATTAATACAATATACCTTTTACTACATTTTAATCAACCTACAAAATGCAGTTACGTTAAAACCATACAGGATACCTCATAAAAATTGTTTTTATTGAATCCACTGGTGATTTATTTCATCCAGAAAACCATTGTTAAAATTGGGAATCAACAAGAAAACCATTGTTTGATAAGAGACCAAATAGAAAACCATTGCCATAATTCGATACCTCAAAATAAAGCAAACGATTGTAATACTTGGAGTGCCAACCAGAAAACTACTGGAAAAGCAAAGATTCAATAAGAAAACCATTGAAACACCCTGATGCATAAATCGTTATAGTATATTGTTTGAATACGCAGATCTGAGTATATAAAAGTGCCGGTACTTTCAATGCCATGCCATTGTGTTTACATCATAGCCCTATTAATTAGTGTTTATAAAGGCTAAATTATCACTTTTGTCAACACACGATATATATTTGTTGTAATATTCAAAATTTTTGAAACGATTCTCTCTCTCAGTAAATCTTATGTTTAACAAATGCATATGACTTAAATCTGTAAGTCTATACAATGGAAAATAGAAATTTGATACGCATAACTGTTATTTATTATTAATTATTCAAAAAAACATTCGAGAATATTTTCTTTGATTTAGTACCAGTTGTTCTTTTTTGTATGACATATATCCACATATGCGTAAATTATCCGTTGTATACAGTACTGGCTACAAATCAAGATATTATGCAAAATGTTATATAAGCGAAGTGGCATGAATTTCATGTTCTAATTACAATTAATGATAAGGGAAACTTATCTATGTATCACAAATTCCATTCACACATAGCTTAACATGCATGCCAATGCCTTACAGATAATCAAACAAACATTTTAATTATTTGCACGGGAAGAAAACACTTACTTTTATATAAAACGGCTTTAAAAACTGCTTGATTGTGATTACACTGAAATATTCAATGTTTAAAAGAATACTAATATGTTAATTTATATGGGTCGTGGAAAAATATGTTGATGTTGTCATAGTGTTTTAAATGTCTTTAAGATATATTTTTCTGTCTCAGACGTTTTGTGAAAATATCCTTTTTTCTGCGATTCTTTATGTTAATCATAAAACTTTGATATAAATTAACTTGGGTAAATTTTCCATGAAAGCTGTTCAGATGTTTGTATTAATCCCCCCTTAGCCTTCTGGATTTGAAAATACCTTGCCTTTGCCAGCCATAAAGAGCCAGGCCATCTGCCCGTACCATCAGTGTAGTCTGACTGGGCTCTATCCTGCTGGTAACTCAACTCCTGTATTGCGATATTGAAATCCCTACATTGTACGGCCTTTACCAAATTCGAAGCAAAAGAGATCATCATGTATTACACAAATTCAGCAGGTTAAGGGTTATGGGAACATATGGAACAGATGTGTATTACACAAATTCAGCAGGTTAAAGGAACATATGTGTATTACACAAATTCAGCAGGTTAAGGGGGAAAACAGATGTGTATTACACAAATTCAGCAGTTTAAGGGGGTTAAAGAAACAGATTATATTACACAATATTCAACAGCTTTAAGGGGGTTCAAAGGAACAATAGTGCTTTACACAAATTCATCAGGTTTAGGGGGTTTAAAGGAAAAGATGTGTATTTCACAAATTCAGCGTTTACAAACATAAGTGTATTACAAAAATTCAGCAGGTTAAAGGAACATATGTGTTTTACACAAATTCAGCAGGTTTAGGGGGTTTAAAGGAACAGAAATATATAACACAAATTCAACGGTTCAAGGGATAAACGAAAAGACGAAGGGTTTAAGAAATGTATGGAATTCATTTATAGTTTATGTTTGTTGTCAATATTTATTTTTATTAGCTGTTATAATTGTTCTCCGATAAGGGTAAAACCATAAGATGTAGTATAATTCATTATATGACGTCATTGTGTGATGTCATTTCAATATTATATGTAACAGTTGCACATTGTATAAATTAATTTTCTTTTATTGTTTGTTTTGGTTTTTCATTTTTTTATAATTGTTATAGAGATACTACGATTTTCAAAACCGTTTGGTATGCAATCCGATAATTTAACGTGATTTTAAAGGAACTTCACTGAGGTCCAAAGTCCTAAAAACATCAAATTTGACTCTCTTACATAGCTCAGCTGATGCACTTTAACAGAAAAATGTTTAAATCTATTTAAGAAATATACTCAGAACTAAATTAAAAATCGTATGTACTTTTGCTTACATTTTTTTATATAGACCTACATCAAATAGAAAATAAATTATAAATTGTATCCAGTCCCGCCATGTCAAAAAGCCTCAGTGGAGTCCCTTTAATAGCTTGAAAACGTTGGCGGATTGGAATGAAAGCACAATACCTTATAACCTTTTTTAAATGTTTTATTACTGTGGCTATGTAATTTCTTTATGCCTGTTAACAGTGGGAGGAGGGTTGACAAAAAGGGGGAAAAATGAAATTTATTTAAATCTGCATATAGTACATTGTTATTTAACATTTTTGTGACATGTAATGTTATAATTATGTGCATTCGTTTTTATACCATTTCCTATTTGTTCTTTTTCATTGTTTTTTTTATATTATAACGTATTATATTTCTATTCAAGAAGGAAAATAGTGATAAAAATGTCTACCTACCATTGGCTGCCGAAAAGAAGTATCATTTATTGTTTTTAAGAAATTAGTTGATTGAATAAACGTTTGGACAAACGAGGAAATGAAAGCATTTTTACGATCAAGTTTATCTTGTAACTTTATATTTACAATAAACTTAATTTCATTTAAATTACTTTTCAAAAATGATTTTCTAAATAGGTATTAAGTACTACAAAACTATTTCCATTTCCCTGAAAGTGGAAATATACGAGTTCTAATTTTAAATGCTGTAAGGTAATGTATGTCCAATTAGATATATAATCAGTCTATGAAATTGATATACTAGTACTTGTCAATGAAATAAAGATGTTACGAAATTTAGTTACGCATTTTAATGTCACGAAATAGCAACACTTAAAATTAGTGAATTACGAGTACAAACTGTACATTCTTTTCTGTCTTTGTATATGTTAATAAAGTATAAAATACACAGTCATATGTTAAACCTTTCACAAACAAACAAATACTTTTGAAGTATTTCTTCAATTATTATATGTTTAATATGTATTAAATACATAGTCACTGTACAGTCTTTAAGAATGTGCCTGTTTCTTTACATGAAATATTTAAAAATTGCAACAAACGTGTACACTGAAGGTGTGTCAATCCATTTTGTTATTGAATGTCACGTCAGCTCCACGAACTTTCAAAAACTGTTGACAATATTTTATTCTTTAATATCCAATTGAATGTATCTGCATTTAAAAAAAATGATACTAATGTTGTTCTTCTTTGTGTTTCAAAATATTATATTATTTTGAATAAAATGTTCGTCTGTAGGTAAGCCCTATTTATGTATATGTGTATGAGTCACATAATTTTTCTGCCATCATTTTTATTATATTTTCTGTGCTTTTTTATTTTTCACTTATATTTTATTTACTATTTTTTGTTGCTAAACAATTTTATAGAGGTATGATGACTCAGAAATATATTGTTATGTGCCGTATGTTACAAAACTTTCTACAAAACGAGAATTTACGCAATAAAATAAAATAAAAACTGAATCATGTTTTTACTTCTTTCATTTGGCATACTCATTTGGCATCCAACTGGACTTCCTTATATCCTACTTTTGATTTATTTATAATCACATTTACTTCTATTGCATTATGTCAACATGGTGAATACTACCTCTGTTAAGTAAATTAGGCTTTGGTGATGAGCCTGACCGTGCTCTCCCTTGCGCCTTGTCCTGTTTTTGTTTGGGGTCCTCCTGGGCTCCTTGCCGCTGGGTCGTGTGAGGGTTGCTTTCATTGAACACCACCTTTCCTTGTTAATTTTGTTTGTCATATTTTGACGTATTCCTTGGTCATTTAACCAAGTAAATTATTTATTGAATTAAAGTGATTTTTTTGGTTTGGTAGGGGAAGACGTCCGGTGCCCCAACGTGCGCTACTACAAACACCACAATAAAGCATTGGAATAGAACCACTGACTTTCCGTAAGCTAGCTGGACAGCTTCCTCACATGTCAGATTCCAATGTTAGTGTATAAATTCAAATCCACGGCGGTGAGGGGGTTGTCGTTTGAAGTCAGCGACCTCTTCCCCTTGACCACCGTCGCTCAATATAATTACGAATGTAATTATTACTATGATAATATACGTACTAGCAAGTAAAAGACTAGTCTCGTAGCAAAAATAAAACTGAAAAACAAAACAAAAAAAACAAATAAATTAACTTAAAAAAACAAATGTCAAAGAATATGAACATTCAATGATGCTCGTTCAGATGACTATGATGTCTTGGCTTGAGTTGTCGGAATATACTTAAAACGAAATACCCTTTAATGTTCAAACCAAATTGTCATAGAAGTCGTGTAAGTTTGTAATATGTCAATGTTTTATGAGATACATACAGAGAGACAGTACCTACTAATGTGTATTGTATTACTAATGTATCCCCATCATTATATTCTTAGAGTTTGATATGATATTGTATACACTTTCTACGATGGCCATGCGTTCCAAACTCGAGGTGACAAGCTTTAAGGCATATGCCGGGGGTTCAGGTTCTTTATATACCCCTAAAAGCACCCTTTTAATATGAAACGAATTTATATAATGCAGAATTCAGGGTTCTTTGGGTGTTATGACATTTTGAACTTGAAAACAAATTCCGTACAAACTGTTGGGAATTCTAATCTCCATTGTATGTACAGAAAGTTCTTCTCCCTTTTTTAATGAAAATTGAAAGAACATTTATGTTAGTGGAATTTAATACAAGTTCTACCGACTTGTGCGAAATTGCTGAGGTTTTGCAAATTCTAATTTAATTAATTCCCATTACCGGAGTCGGTGAATTTCGTTGCAAAGAGGCTGCAAGCAAAAGTGCTCACTTTTACTAATTGAAAATAAAAATAATCTGCATATGAACATAAAACATCATCTCGCAAGATTAAATTACTCCTACATATAATCATAAAAAACATAATTGTCAGAAAAGATGTAAATTAAAAGGTGAAAAATTGTGTAAATAAAATAATTAGTCGCTGACACAGGAAAGTGTCAGTTACAGCAACAATGGCAGACGGGTTGTGAATGCATACACTTTTCATGCAAGACCTTTACACAATCCTTTCTAATCACATCATACCGGTGGTTTCATGCTTGTGATAAATAATAAAGAAACATTATAGTATTAGGCAATATCTTAAATTAATGTGGTGCTAGCTTTATATATATATAAATTCAAACTTGTATATGATGAAAATACTCACCCAGCATTGCAACAAATAATAATGATTATTATAATTATAATGTATATATACTCCGTTTCAATAAGTCTGTGAAAACACTGTGTTCAATTTAGATTGCTTTTAAATACGCATAAAGCAAAATCTGATATTTAAAAACAGAATTTTGTAGAATTAAAAAGAAACATCCTTAGATGCACACATACATGGAAGCTTAAATCTCATTCCATTGGGGATAAAATCATAGGTTTTACATTATTGTAAAATCAACTACAAGGCATAACAAAACGTTAATTAATATTATTGTCCGGCAATTAACAAAACAAGATCTGTTTAAGAAATCCTGAATTCATAATTGCCAAAAGACCTTGGCGGTCTTAATTACTTCTCCATTAAATGCATCACGTGTTTGAATTATTTTATATCTATATATTGCTTTTCATAAATAAACATATGTATCATACATGGAAGTTGTATACCAATCATATACCAATGTGTGGCTTTCTCTTCGTAGAATACAACACGTTGGTAATCCTCTACAGCGTCGATACATAATAATAATCACGTAAATATTACATAAGAAGTTGATCTTATCAATGTGTTTTAATATGGATATCATTTAACATTAAAAATTAAATAAACACTGAACATAACATGAGACTTAATTAAAAATCATTAACTAATATATGTCCTCATATATTTACCATTTATGATAAAGGATCCCTTACAAACAATATCTATCGGACTAATTTGATAGGTTTTTGCTCAGTTACTTGATCAAAGTGTATTGTTGTGTTCAAATGATCGATGAATTGTCATGTTTAAACACATAAATATTACAGACATGCATGGAATAGATTAATTCAATGCATTGCCATACACACATTCATGAATATCATTAAAGAAGGAAATGTGTCAATATATAAGCTACGGCGACAAAACACACATATATTTAACGTAGCATTACATTAAACAAATATCAAATACATTATTACAAAACAAACACAAGTATTCGTAAATTTGAATTAAATATT